TGTTTTCACAAGCATTCAAAGATAGATAAAACTGCAGTTACCTAGGAAAGGATTCCACATCCAACCCCAGACAAAATGCCATGCAACTGAAATGGAGAGAAATTTGTGTGTTCAGCAGAAGACAGCTTTTTAGCGTAAGCAAGAATAAATACATACATACAGTGAATAGACTACAAATTGGGAAGAAAAAACTTGCCTAAAGTGGTCATCCTTAGGTACGTATGCCAATGTGCCCGTGATTTGTGTTTATTTTTACTTTCTGTCCTTACAATGAAAACATCCGCTGTTTCTACACTACTGCAGACAGAGCTGGCTACCTAATTTGCAAAATGAAAGCGCAGAGTTCCTTGTTCAAAAGGCAGGAAAACAATGTTATTAGATGTCCAAAAATAGATTTTTCCTTTCTTCTGGGGTCTCTCTGCTGGTCATGGTATTATTTATTTGCTATGTAAGGTCCTTCTAAGTAAAGAAAAATGACAGTTTTCAATTATTAGCATGAATTTTACTGTTCTTCCTTTACTGCGGTAACGCCAGTTTTCAATGCAGACTATTAAACCAAGAGCAGAGCCCTTGTGAGCACAGGACTCCGTGTGGCTGCCAGGCTCGCATGCCCATGAAGCTGGCCCCTGCTGCAGAATGGGAAGAAACATGGCTTTTGTTTTACACTTTTCGAGCAACTGATTATATGCACTTCCGACAATACTATCAAGTTTGTGACATTTACAGCGTTTCTCCTGTGGGAAGTTATGGTATGTTTTTGACCGACAGGGTCCACCTTTGGAAGACTATAATGACAGCTTCATTAGAGAGAGAGGAGAGTCAGCAAGAAAAATGTTTCCCTTGCACTTCTTGAAGCTGTAAATGTCACTGCTCATTGTAAGGAAATGTGTCCAGGGCCAGAGCTGATAAACCAATCAAGTGACTTCAGGTGAAGGCATTCATAAACATGTTTGAAACTTGTCTGGCAGCTTTAGGCCAGAGGCTGAGGAATGACTTCCTTGGGAGAGAAGGAGAGAACACAGCACCACTCTTCCAACTAGGAAAGGCACTTTTCTTTCCAGAGGCTGCACTGGACAGAGTTCAGACTGCTCTTTCCCTGCCATGCAGGATCTGGTGTAATCTGCCTTACATAGAACCAACATTCTGCCCACTGGTGCCTCTTCTTTGCTCATTCATAAAACTCGTACTTAACAATCCTCAAAACAACTTTACGAGGCTTGTGTTAGCTCCCCCATTTTCTGGGTAAATAGACTGAACCTTCAAAGGGTGATGTGACTGACAAAGCATCACCCAGAGTGGGCTGCCCTGAGCCTGGACATCTCCCTGTCTCTGGGAATCATCCTGAGCCCTGGCTTTCTGAAACCAGGTAGATTCAGCATCGCAGCGCTGGCTGCAGGTCTATCTGCTGTTCTCACAGGGGTTGAGGATTTTATTAAACACCAAATGTGTACACACCACACACACACACACACACACACATACACACACACACGTGGTATATAGTCTAAAAGTGAAATATTCAAAATCTGAGCACATTCCTCTGAAATGTCCTTCATGGTAGCAAATTTTTACCTCTGAAAGTCTATTTGATTTTTGGAAATGGAAGAAAATCATTTGGAGCCGATGATATTGTGATTTATAATGAGAAATATAGATCTGATCTTTATCTCCAGTTCCTGACATGGGCTCCTAAAGCCCTTGCAAATTCCTAAGTAATACGAGCACTAGGAGCATCTTTTGTGCTAATGAGGCAACTCTGGGCAGGGTCCTGGATGGCTCCTGGTTGGGGGTTGGTTGGTCACAAGAAAGACAAGCCATGATTTGAAGCTTGGAATTTTCAGCAGCCCCTCCCCACTCCTCTACAGAGAGGGGGTTGGAAATGGAGTTAATAATTAATCATGCTTATGTGAAGAAATCTGCCTAAAATCCCAGTAGTACAGGGTTCAGAGAGCTTCCAGGTAAGTGAAAGCATCTGTGTCCAGGTGAGTGAAGCACCCCAACCCCACAGAGACAGGAGCTCCCTCCCAGACATCACCCTATTCATCACTTCATCTGGCTGTTCATCTGTATCCTTTATCATAGCCTTTCATAAACTGGTAAAGGTAAGTTAAGTGTTTCCCTGAGTTCCGTGAGTTGTTCTAGCAAGTTAATTGAACCCAAGGAGGGAGGTCATGGGAATGTCTGATCTGTAGCCAAGGCAGACAGACATTGTGGGTAACCTGGCTCCTATGACTTGGGATTGGCATCTGAAATGGAGGAAAAGTCTTGTAGGATTGAGCCCTTCCCCTGTGGGATCTGACACTGTCTCTGGGAGGGTCAGGGATCTGACTTTACCTGGGCAGAGTGTCAGAATTGAGTTTAATTGTAGGACACCCGGTCACAGAGAATTGCCAGCTACATGTCACAGAGAAACTCCCACATATTTGGTGACCAGAAGTATTGGAAGTATTTTGTCTGAAAGTAAAGGGAAAGCCACAGGAGGAGAAAGTCTTAGGTTCTGCCTCTACAGAGCCTGGCAGTTCGGTGGATTGAATGAACTGTGAATTTTTTTTTTAAAGATTTTATTTATTTATTTGAGAGAGAATGAGATAGAGAGAGCATGAGAGGGGGGAGGGTCAGAGGGAGAAGCAGACTCTCTGCTGAACAGGGAGCCCGATGCGGGACTCGATCCTGGGACTCCAGGATCATGACCTGAGCTGAAGGCAGTTGCTTAACCAACTGAGCCACCCAGGTGCCCGAGTTGTGAATTTATTTAGTGGATCAAGTGGTAAAGTGGGTGATCGGGATGGGGAGGGAGTGGCAGAGTGAGGGTGTATGTAGATGGACGTGTTGATATGTTTTGCTGCCTACCCTGAGCCACGCACCCCGGCTGGTGCTGCTGTCCTAAGTCCTCAGCTCATCTGTGGCCACACTACAAATGGGGGTATTAGTATCCCCATCTTCCATGTCAAGGTCAGAAGACATAAAATTACAATTTTTCACCAGTTAGTGGCAACACAGGAAGTGGAATCTAATTTGCCTTAAGGGAATGAGAACTTTTTTTTTCATTCAAAAAATGAAAGAAACAAACAAACAAAAAAGAAACTCATAAAGCAAAGAGGTGATCTTCTCATTTGGCTCCAACAACTGGCTCTGCAGATAATTTTAAACCAATGAATTTGAAAACGTTTTGAGAAAGGGCAGCATCATGTTAATAGGAGTAAAGTTCCCAAGGAGACCAGTATGATGGGGACAAACACCTCATGTGGCTGCTTCTGCATTATTTTTCTTTCAAGTCAGAGAATTTCCTAGCCACACCTTGGATAGCGTTCTTTAGAATTCTAGATCTTGGCACTAGAACAAACCTTAGAGACCTTGCTCAGCACCCTCATTCCAGGGAGGCAAAACTCAGCACCAGAGATAGGGAGTAACTTGCTCAAGTTCACATAATGAATTTGTGCCAGAGCCCTGACTACACCCTAGGTGCCTGATGATACAGCAGCACCCTGCTTCCTCCCCACATTCCCATTCCTCACCGATGAATCTCCTAACAAGAACTTTTTATGTGTCAGACACTCAAAGTGCATTCCCTTATTACATCTTCAAGGAAACATTATGGGTAAGGATAATAAAACCAAAGAAATTAGATAATAGGGCCAAGTTACAGAGCTAGGAAATTGAGCCCTAGGACTTGAACCCAGGTCTGCCGACCTCCAGGTTCCATGTGTTTAACACCCAGCACTGCCTCCTTTTGTCCAAGCTCCTTCTCCTCCTTCCTTTTGTGTCCCAAGGCGCCTGGGATAAGGCACTTAAACCCATGCTCCCTCTAGCTAGTCACTTCCCTTCTTTCCGTGTTTAACAACACAAATAGCCTGTCCTCCCGGCAAGTTTGTTTTGTTGGAGGTTTGCCTTATTCCCTGGGAACCCAGAGGAACAATGAGCTGTTACCCAAGCCCTCCAGGGCTCCACCCCCATCCTGGACTGCTTCCTCAACTTCCCCTGGTCACGCTCACCCCCAGCAGAGACTGCGTGGAGGCCCCTCCAGCTTGTCTACAAAGTGCGTCAATCACTTGTTTACTGGGTTTTCCTGCCTGGCCCTGGGGGTTCCGCTGACTATTTCTTCTCTCTGGAAGTTCTCCTGAGGTGAGCTTTGATCTTCAGAGGGGAAGGGGCAACAGGAAGATGATGAGAAATGCTAGGAGTCTGTCAGCATCTGACTCACTCTGTGGAAAAAAACAACAACAACAACAACAAAAAAGCCCTCACTTAAAGCGAAGCGAGGATGCTGGTGAAAGCTGCATCCCTGCCAAGGGCCTGCATGAAGTCTTCCTTCTTTCTGGGACACAGTTGGAAAAGGAATAAAATTTCCACAAGCCAGAAGTAAATTCTCCTAAGCTTTTCTACACTTAGCTAGCGGTAATAGTCACTGAATAATAAACCAACATATAACCTTTCCACAAAAAGCCACGGCTGCGGACCCCCCCAGTGGAGAGAGATGTTTTTACATGTGCGTCTTCCCTTGGATAAGGTTGCTTGGGCCCTCACAATCCATATTAACATGAAAATGTACCACTCAGTAAGGACAAGTAAATAATATTAAAATAAAGTATCAGTCAGGGTCCCAACAAGAAATGGAAGAGATACTCAAAATGGTCTGACTGAAGAAAATTTCATATGGAACTATTCAAAGGGATGTGTGTGGAATTAAGGAAACAATAAGGGGTGGTGAGGCAGGGAGGGAGAGGGGAAGAAATTCCCTTGACCTCTCTCTTTCCTGCCTTCTGTTCTCCTGACAGTGCTTCCTATGGGCAGAACCCACTAAAAGCCAAAGAACAGAGGCACCTGGGTGATGTAGTCCATAGAAGTCAGCCTCTGGAGCACAGTGCAAGGTGGACAGGGCATGGATCACGGTGAATGGATCAGGAGGGGCAAAGGAAGAATACACAGCCTCCTACCTCCTACCCTCTTGCTAAAAGCTTAAGGAATGGTTCTGGATTGCTTTTCTATGCAGAGATGTCTTTCATGGAATCCAGGTTATTACAACAGGATTCCACGTGCTGTGAAACCAATTTATTAAAGTGGTGTGAAAAATCTCAGCATCATACTGCTGGTTGGGTATTTTGTTATTCCTGCTGCATCTTGATTAGGGCTGTGACAGAGGGAGAACCTGATGTCCCTCTTCATAGTTCCCTCTGTTCAAGGCCCAGAAAGTACATATGAACATATGATTTCAATATTTCACAGGGTGGCTCTGCTTGGTATGCAAATTTTTATTGTAAAGTGTATTATATGTATGGAGGAGTATTTTAAATACATGTAAAGTTGAAAATATAGTATGTTTAACACCCACATACTTATCACAAAGATTAATAGAACATTAACCAGTACCTCAAAAGTCTTCCAAATATTCTTTCCTAAATAAAACCTCCAACCTCGTCCCCAGAAGTAATCATTATCTTGACTTTTGTGCTAATCATTCTCTTGATTTTCTTGATAGGTTAACCACTTATGTATATTTTTCTAAACAATGTGTATTCTGTAGAAGCATAAATCTAGCAAAAAATGAAAGGGCAATGTTGGAAGGCATCCAGGAGCGAGAGAAGCTAAACAGTCCTTGGGTCAATCTGGTTTCAGTTGCCTCAAGAGTTTACTCACAAGAGCCTCTTCTGGGAAAGTAGGTGGACAAGGTCATGAGTGGGTCTTGCGAAAGCAGAGTTAGATGTCTGGTAGGTCTATAGTGGAGTCCAGGCATTGGGTATCCAAAAGATATATGGTTCAGAGTGTGGATTCTTCTGGATTTTCTGCTTTACCACAGCCTACTTGCAGCTTCTGAAGTAGACCAAAGCAGGGTACTTCTGTGGGATGAAAAGAGCATGCTCAGCTGATCAGAAAATAGGCCATAGTAGGAAAAACAGCAGCCACATTAGAAATGATTAAGGCAAGTCAGAACATATCGTGGGCTCAGCCAGACTCACCTGGGAATTCTGTTCTTAGATAAAGAAGAAAGAAGGAAGGAAGAAGGAAGCAGAAGCAGCAGCAGCAGCAGATTAATAGCAGTGGGAATCTTGATGATGACAGCTCTCAACACATCTCTTCTAAGGCACTCTGCTACCACCTGGCCTGGTTGTCCCCTATGCCTGGTACACGGCTATCATTCTGAGACCACCATTTACCATTCTTTTGGGTATTTCTTTTACCCCATCCAGTGCTGGAGCATATGTTTCCTGTACTTGATGTCTTTCTCTTTCTTGGCATACTCTTTTTTTGTGGAGCATATACTCTAGTAACTCCCTGAGGAAGGGCACATGGGGGGAGAAATCTGTTGAGACTGTACAGGTTCAGAAATGTTTTTATTTCACAGTAGTTGATTTATACTTAGGCTGGGTATACAATTCCAGATGGGGATAAATTTTTCCATCAGTATTTTGAATTTCTCTATTGTCTTCTTGTTTCAAGTTTTGCTGTTGAGAAATCTGAAGTCATTCTGATTCTAGACCTTTGAGATTATATATATATATATATATATATATATATATATATATATATATATATAAACACACACATATATACATATTCTACAGATTTGAGATCTTTGAGATTATATATATATACACACAATACTTCCTGCTGCTGGTAGCTTGTGGAATATTTTTCTTTGTCTCCAGTGATCTGAAATTTCGCAATGATGTATGCACCTTGTAAGTTTCTTTCTTTCATTTATTAGGTTGGTATTTGGTGGGTGCTTTCAATCCATTCTGGGAAACTTCTTGAATTATTTCTATAAGAATTTTCTACTCTTCCCCATTTTCCCTGTTGTCTCTTTTTAGAAATGCCATTATTCTAATGTTGAACATCTATGATGGTCCTCTCTTTAATGTTTTCTCTTACTTTCCTTCTATGTATGTTTGCTCTTTTAGTCGGAAGGTGAGAGTGAGATGAAATTTCCTCGATATTATCTTCCTACCCAGTTAGTTTTTCATTTCCTCTATCAAGTTTCTCATTTTCAAGAGCTTTTCAATGTTCCTTGAACATTCTTTAAAAATATATAGCATCCTGTTCTTGTTTCATGGAAGTTCTTTTATTTCTCAAATTATATTAACCATAAAATTTGTTTGGGAAATTTTCTTCCCTGCATAGTTTGTTTCTTCCAAATTGCTTTTTTCCTCTGTTTTTGATCTCTAGCTCCCATAACACAGGCTTTCCTTAGATGTAAATTTGGCTGTATGCTCATGATAATGAATGGGAAAGTAAAAAGCTAATTAGAAGTTCTGAGCAGGGTATGGGGCCTGACAACTTTGAGATTCAAAGTAGGGTGATCTGGCTCAGTTGTTGGTTGGGAGAACACCAAAAATAGGCATTTACTTTTCAGATAGTTAGATACTCAGGGAGTGATCCTCCAGTATCCTGCCATGAGGGTAAGGGGCTAGTTGCTAATGTACTGGGAGCCAGGTGTGGAAATAACATAAACATATAAAGAGTTAGTCCTACTGCAGAGCTCTGTTTCTAATGAAGTCCTCAGGAATGGGAAGTGGGAAGGCACTGTCAGTCCATGCACGCAAAACGTGTCGCAACCCTTGTTATACACCAAGCTTGCCCTTGCTGTAGTAGAAAACTGAGCATCTAAGTGATGGGGTAGGGAATAACAAACATTTGCCAAGTGTTTGTTTCTTTTCTTTAGGCAACACAGTAATAGATTCATGCACTTGTGCTCATTTAGTATCCACAAGAGGCCTGCATTATAGGCATATGGGAAATATTAACAATTTATCCTTTTTTTTTCCATTTTGTAGTTGAGTAAATAATGGCCAGTGAAGATTAAATTAACTGACCCAAGATCAGACAGGTATTGACAAGAGGGCACACATTCCAGTCCTTTGATTCCAAGGCTCTTTATTTTTATTTTATGTTAAATGATATTCTTCTGAGTAAGGAAATACATGCCACTATAGGTATCTTAGAAAATATGTAAATTTCCAAATAATTATATATATATATATATATATATATATATATATATATATATGGCCACCACTGTGTAACATTCTTTCACAGGGACATGCTATAATTTATAACAATAAATTTATCATTTATTTGACTGTCTCCTAATTTGAATTGTTTAGGCTGGTAAACCTATGCTCTTCCCACTACATAGCTTCAGCCAAGGGCAGCAGGCATGCACAGGCATCAGGATCAGGAAAGAACAGAGTTCAGGCAGGTCCTTAGGTAGAGAGCTGCTGATTAAGGGCAATTTATAGGGATACAGTTCAGTACCCTGGAGAGCTCCACATCGTCACACTCATTGGGGATTTAACAGAACAATGGCTGGAGTTCTCTAAGGTTCTGAACTGCACCTCCAGAATAGAATGTTAGAAACAAAACAACAAAACAAACAACACACACACAGCTGGGATTGGGGATCTTTTTGTCCCTGAGGGATTCAACTTTACTCTCCAGTTCAAACAACTTTGTGGAAGTAGGTCATTTTTCTCACCACTAGGCCTGTTTTTCATGCTGTTCCCTTAAGCTAAGGCCCAGCTAATTTCTACTCATCCTTTCATGTTCAATTTAATCATTAGTTTCTTCAAAAAGCTTTCTGAGCTCTTTTTGTCTTCTCCCTCAAAATTTTTCCCCTTCCTTCCTCTGCATCCTGATCATTATATATGCCACACTAGATTACAATTGTCTGTTTGTCCTCATAGACTTTGAGTTCCTTGAGGGCAGGGACTGAGACTCGGTTATTCTTTAGCCTTAGTAAGTACCAATAAATAATATTCAATATTTAATAAATGATGCGTTATTTATAGGCAATAGGGAGCTTTTGAAGGTAGTTCTCAACCAGGGGTAACTTTGCCTCCCAAAGGACATTTGGAAATGTCTGGAAATAGTTTTTGTTGTTGCAACTCAGCGGGGTGGGTGCTACTCAGTGGGGTAGGTAGAAACCATGGATGCTTCTCAACATCCTACTATGCACAAGACAGCTCCTATAACAAGAATTATCTGCCCCCAAATGTTACTCATACAGAGGTTGGAAAACCCTGTTTTAGAATAAGGAAATGGATTTTATCACATTTACGTCTTCAGAGGGCAGGGAATCCATCTGGCTCATTTTACAGATGAGAAAACTGAGCTAGTTGGTTATAGGATCAGAGAAAGAACTTAGATCATGGCACCCTTTCCACACAGTTGCAACTGGCTAACATTTTTTTTTTAACTATCCACTGTTTTAAGTTGTGTAGGAATAGAATAGTTTTTTAAAATGCACACTATCCTGGGCTCATCAAGCAGGTTTGGGGGACAAGGATGAGACTGTTCAGACTGGAGAAAAAAATGTGGAGTCACAGAACAGGCCCAGCCAGCCTTATCCCATCCCCTATCCCCCATCCCCCCTACATTGGCCTCTCTTTTCTGGAAAGATATGCCACAAATCTAGGATTGAGTGGGAAGATTTCTCTCAATGGCTCATTTCTGAACAATTCAATCTGCTCTGGGAAATGAGAGATCAGCTTGTGGAAGAGTGAATTATTTTAAGCCACTCTGCATTAGAATCAATTAAAGCTCTAGAGGGCCCAGGCCGCCACAGGAGAATTCACTCTAGTTGCCATAGACCAAGGGGATCCAGCATAACTTTCCTCCTATCAACATCTCCAAGGGAAGCTCTGAACCAAATTTGATGGTTATCTCTCTCTTCAAGTGCCTCAGATTTAGAATGCTCCTGATCCCAAAGAGTGCCCCATACATATTTCTCATGAGCCAAACCTGCCATTTTCCCAGCAGTAATTAGAGGCCTGGGCTTCTCCCATTCGGCTCTGTTGACTTAAAAAAGCCAAAGGATTCAGGCACAATACACAGTGAATCAGCAAAGGAAGGAAATGTGGAAGAAAGAATGTGTGGCATCTTGAATAAAAGTGTCTTCCGATAAATTTGGTGAATTGTCTTCAAGGGAATCAGTTGAATGTGTTAATCACTTATTGTACATCATAACTGTCTGGCGCATATGTGATTAGCTGGAAATGATATTTGTGGGTCTACTGAGGCTCTGAAATGATGCACAGGAAAGCTAGATTCTGTAGAAGGAGCTCAACTTTCTTTGCTCAAGTTTGCCTTGGAGCATAAAACACTTCCTGTATTGGCTGCTACTGGCATGAGAACGTGAAGGTGCTACCAGGGGTGGGATGGGGACAGAAAAGGATAATAAGCATCAGGTTCCGACAAGGAAATGCTATCTCACCACCTCCATTCCTTGTTCTCTTCCTCATCCCTGCCACCACACAGCACCCCCTCCCCCTGCCACACACACACACACACACACACACACACACACACACACACACATTGGGGAGAAGTAGTTTATTAACTCAGAATTTGGACTCAAATGATCTGAGTTTGAATTCCAGTTCTGTTCCTTTTCTGAGCCTGAGTCTTCATATATAAATTTGTACTAATCTTTTTTTTTAAGAAAAGATTTTATCTATTTTAGAGAGAGAGAGAGAGAGAAGTGGAGGGGGGTGGCAGAGGGAAAAGGAGAAGCAGACACCACGCTGAGCAGGGAGCCTGGTGCAGGGCTCTATCCCAGGACCCTTCTGGAGATCATGACCTGAGTCAAGGCAAGATGCCCGACAGACTGAGCCACCCAGGCACCCCTGGACTAACAATCTTAATATCCCCAGCTTGTCAAGGAAGTTTACATGAGATGATGTATATAAAGCACATGGCTCATGAAGGCACTAAATAAATGTTCTATTATCACTATTGAGTTCGGTCTCTGCCTGGATAATTTTCTAAAGACAGAAAGTTTGGTCCAGAGGACTAATGAGATGAGAATCATGGATATGGATGGTCAAATCTAAGAAAAAGA